TAAATCCCCCTTTCCTAAGGGCTTGTAGGACAACATTCAGAGCAAATATATGGCTTCTTTCATCTGGGCTTGCAATCAACAAGTCATCAACATATTGGAGGCAGACACTTCCTGATTTCTCAATTTCAGCTTTTTGCTCCGTTAAGAACTGGTTCAAAGCTCTATGAAATACAACAGGAGAAATATTAAGACCTTGTGGGAGTCTGTTCCAAACATATTGTTTTGCGCCTACTGTAAAGGCTAATTTCTCTTGAGATCTTTTGTCTATAGGTATAGACCAGAAAGCCGACAGTACATCCAGTACCGTAAAAATTTTAGCATTTCCTGGAATATCATTCAGAATAGTGGCAGGATTGGCTACAATAGGATGCGGTTTTGGTGTTACACTGTTAAGTCTTGTATAATCAATGGTTAATCGCCATGAGTTATCTGATTTCTTGACAGGCCAGACAGGACTATTAGTGGTAGATGACGTTTGTCTGATGATACCTTCAGCTTCCAAGTCAGCCACTATCTCCTCTACGGCTTGTCTTGCTTCAGGTCTGATAGGGTATTGTTTATGAGGGGCATGTGTCGGTCCCTCAATAACAATGGGGTCAATGTTGGCTTTACCACAATCCAGTTTGTGTTTAGCCCAAACATCTGGATATAAACTGCATAGAAGACCCCACACACCATCTTTTGTCCAGTTCCTGATAATTGGTTTTGCTGTACCAACAGACCTTAGATTACATGTGCGATCTTCGTGTGGTATTATCCCAGCAGTTGTGGCGATATGACGACTGTCAGTGAATATGATCATGTTTAACAATGGAAGAATGTCCATGCCAATTAGGCTTCCTTGTGAATTCGGTCCCACCCAAAAAGATGTCCATAAGACTTCATCTTCATGTATTTGCAGTGGAACTTGAATACTTTTGCGAAATTTTGTGATACCACCTCCAACACCTTCAACTTCCATAGTTTCATCTGTTGTAGGTAGGTTCAAATCTGTTATTGAAATTGAGGCGCCTGTGTCAACCAAAACTTCACATGGGTGGCCCCCTATTAATGCATTAACGAAAAGGCGATTGTCTTCTTTCTTACTAATACAGGGGGCCGCTAATTCCTATTGCGGACGCATAATTCCCTCAATGAGCTGACGGACTTGTGCTTCAGTCAACGTCTTCTCTTGAGAATTTTCATTATGGTCTTTGGTACTGACCTGTTTAAATGATGGACCTTGACCTTCTGCTCCACCTCCTTTAGCCCAGCAATCTCGTCTAACGTGTCCACGTTTTCCACAATTGCTGCAGAAAACCATCTTATTCTTTGTGTCTTTGTTGTATTGAGCTGTCGCCACTCCTCGTCGGTATGGCTTGTTTCCTTCTTCTTTGTTTGACCTCATAGCCATCTCCAAACGGCCAGCCCATTGCATGATTTGGTCAAATGTCTCACCTGGGTTGACTCCAAGTGATAAGGCTTGTTGGTATTTTGGGCCAAGTCCATCCACAAGTGTGTCAATGAACTGTACATCATCTCTGTCAGGTTGTTTCTTAGCACAGAGAGCCCATCTCTCATAAGCGTTCCACTTACGTAGAGCATACTCATCTGGAGATTCATCATCCTTTTGCTTAATCAATGTCACTAATGTGAAGGGAATTTTACCACTGCCCAAAATTTCCTGGATTTCTCTTCGGAATACATCTAAGGCTTGCCAAAGACCCAGGGGTCGTCCCTGGTCATCAACCCACAAATCTATCCATTGGGCAGTTGTTATTGAGGCTGGCAAGCGTTCCCATCTGTCTCTTGGGATTTTAGCTTTCACAATGGTGTGAATGTCTCGTAGTGTCATTTGATGTGCTTCGACAAGAGAGTCTAATTCTCGCCAAAACTCTGTGTTTGGATCTTGTCTCTTCAGAGGAGGCAAGGCTGTGAGAATGGCTTGTCGTTCACCTGGAGTGAATGGTCTCTCTTCTGTCATTAATTCAGATCCTTCCTTTTTAATTACTGGTGAAGAAAGTTCAGGACCGATCTTGTCAATTGTGATCATGTCGTCATCTCTTGTCTCATCACCCCAGTCGGATCCATAATTACAAGCTGGTGTACAGCGCAGCATGTCTCTGTTGGGATGAACTGTTTTAGATCTTGTTATTATTGGAGCTGCTTGTGCAGATGCAATATACATTTTGTCAACTGGACCATTTGATCTCAAAGCTTGAGGCTGTGTCAGTGGTTTAGAGGAACTTGTACATTGTTCAGGCAAAACTGGATACATTGGGTTGTAAGGAGGAGGCGTTACAGTGGTTGCAGATTTCACTGGTGCTTGTGAATATCTCTTTTCAGCTTCAGTTATTATATTTGTCCAATCTGGATCAAATGAATTATCATTGGTTGTGTTTTCTTTATCTGAACAGTTAATAGACATAATTTTGTTCAATTTGTGAAATGCTTCAAATTGAGGCTTCATTGCTTCAAAAAGTGGGGCTGGACATCCATCAATGCCACAGAAGATTCCACCTTGTTTCACAATCCAATGAGCTGCCAGTATTGGAAATGCTTTTGACTTGATGGAGTCTTTTTGCGAATCAAACCAGCTTAGCTGCACATCCAAAGATGCATTAACATCCAGTCCTTTTTTCAAAAGCTTAGCTTGCTTTTTCTGTTTTCTTTTTAAATACCAATCAGCTATTGTTCGGCTGTTAAGACCACTTTCTGCCATTGCAAATTATTTGTCACTCTGTGACTGTGCACTCAAACAGCAGGGATATTTTGGGAGTGAGTGTGTGTGTGTGTGTCTGTGTGTGTGTGTATGTATATCTACTGTGCGTGAATTCCAAGGGGGGTCCCTCTGCTTCTCCCTCTCTCTCTGCTTCTCTCCTTCTCTCCCCTTCGCCTTCTCTTATAACTCAAAGAACAAAGAAGGGGAAAGGAAAAAAAAAAACAAAAAAAAACAAAACAAAGTTAACTCTAATAATTTGTTTTCTTTGTGTATTTGTTTGCTCTATTTTTTATTTTTAAATTTTATTTAGCCTATCTGAAGTTGCTCTCAGATCAACCTCTTCCTCTCAATACTGAACAGCTTATTGTCAAAATCGAAAAAACACACAATTCTAGCTCCTATTTCCATTGATACCCATCTTCTAAGGGCTCAATCAGCGTGTTTAAAATTTTAGGGCGCCTGTATTTCTAAATACGGAATCCTGTGCGTCCTATAGCACAGACCCGCCACTTTAAACCGCTATAAATCACCGCTTTGACACACTATCCTCGTTTTCTAAAACGATTCTTCGGTGTGTTGGAAATATTTTAGAGATTAATCTGCCATCAGTTTTTACAGTCTCGCCATATTCCAACCACCTTCCAGTCATGCCAAGCAAATTGCTAAATTGCTTTACTGCTATTCCAAATATTTGACTAAATGGTCTTTTTTCTAAAAAAGATCCACTTTTCCTAAAGTCTTTTCAAAAATGAAAAAGACTTCCCCAGCATCATTCAATATTTCAGAGGTTTACCGAACAGAGCAACTCAAATAAGCCACATCAAATTCAAACTATTTAAATTATTTTCTTTTTTTCTGACATATATATTCATTGGCAAAACAACTGGTACTTTAAACAACACAGTTCTTTTAAGCAGTTTCAGTCAATGTCCAATCATCAGGCAGACTTCAAATTATTTTTTAGTATAGGAAAAAGTCTTACCTTGAATGATTGAGACAAATGTCTGAATGCTATCCTGTTCCTCGTGACGCCAAATGTAGACTTGGAATTAAAGCCTCTTGTGTTTCCCCGTTATTATTCAATTTACGGGACCGGACACCAGTTATCTTGCCAAGAAAGTTTTATTATATATTATATATATGTCAGGAGAGAAACTTCATGATGTTGTGTTCATGCCTGGTCTATGCTTTTCTCCATGTTCCTCTACCCTCTCACCCGGTCATGCCTACATGTTTCTCTGAGGTGGTACAATGTGACATTGAGTTTTTATACATCACACAGTCTTACAGCTTCCTTGTAAGGTAACAAACATGTTGCTCTGAGCCTCTCAACTTAGAACGTAAATGTCATACGTGCGCTACTTTCCTTGTTGTGTACATCTGTGGTACACTTGCATCAGTGGAAACATTTATGCTGAGTGAACATGTTACATGGCACACATACCTCTCTGAGCAATATATAGCTTTCCCCTGACATATGTTCATCTCATGCTTTTAACTCATGCTTTTTGAAACTCCAAAAGGATAATACAGTGATCATGAAAACTAATAAAGAATAATAATACAGATACATAATATTTAATAATGAAATAATATTAAAAGATGAAATTTTAGTCTTCAAGGGGTTAGACTACATCGCGACCACTGCAGACATTTGGTCTGTCCACAACAAAAGCTTCCTAGGCATGACAGCCCACTGGATAAACACCGCTACTCTTCAACGCCAGAAAGCTGCGTTGGCCTGTAAAAGGATAAAAGGTAGACACACGTATGATGTCATTGCGGCTGAAATCGATCACATTCATTCATTATATGGACTGTCAACGAAAGTTACAGCTACAGTTACTGATAACGGCTCGAACTTTGTAAAAGCCTTCCAAATGTATCAGCCCGAATCGCTCTCTGACGATGATGAAGAGGATGAAGAGGTTACCTTCACAAATGTTGCAGACGTGCTTGACACCTTCACAGAGGAGAGGATTGTTTTACCACCACACCTGAGGTGTGCCTCTCACACACTTAACTTAATTTCATGCTCTGATGTGGACAAGTGGCTGCTTTCAAATCCTGGGACTAAAGCAATTTACAGAAGTGCTACCGCCAAGTGCACAGCACTGTGGAGTAGGGCTAGCCGGTCGACTTTGGCTTCAGAGTTAGTGGGCGATTTGGTTGGCAAAAAACTGCTTGTGCCATGCTCCACAAGGTGGAATTCAATTTCATTTTATGATGCTGTGGCAAGAATAGTTGAAATACCCATGACTGACTTGAGTACAATCTCTGATCGCTTAGAGCTAAAATGTATTGGTGAGAGGGAGTTTCAGTTTCTGAGGGAATACTGTGCCATCATGAAGCCTCTCACAGTTGCTCTTGATATACTGCAAGGAGAAGAAAACTGTTACTATGGCACCCTCCTGCCCACAATAGAAGTTTTGATGTCGAAGCTACTGGAGATAAAAGAAGGCCTGATTATTGCAACTGGCCTACCTGATGCCATAGTTCAGGTAAGAAACATTCATCAATATTCAAAATAGGTTTATAGATGTAAACATTAATATTTTTAGCTGGGCAAGCCAAGCACCAATATAGCCTAAGAAATAGAAAGAATGTAAAGTGCACAACTTAATTTTGGATTCTATTCATGCACACACACACACACACACACACACACACACACACACACACAGTACTGCACCTACAAACTGGATGGAAAATAAACTTTAAATAATAACATAATTCCTTTTTTGCTAAGTAAAATTTTAGTTTTGTCCTATCAGTTGCACATATATTTTCAGTTTCTTAATGTGTGTGTTTTTGTGATGTTTAAATAAATGATTTTATAACTCATATCTATAGTTAAAAAATCACATAGTGGTGTATAGATTTCATATAATGTACATAGAGGAAATCTTTCATTTATTCTAATATCTGTCACTGTGGGTTTTTTTTTTTGTTTTTTGTTTTTTTGCAGGCAATCAAAACACGATTTGCATCCCTCTTGGAAAGCAATGATGCAATACTGGCAGCTGTCACACTTCCTATGTTCAAACTGCGATGGTTGAGAGACCAGAGGAAAAAAGAAATGGTCAAAGGAATGCTGGTAGCAGAGTGTCACAAGCTCATCCCTCGACCTGGCCCTGTTCAGCAAGCAGCCAAGATGCCTGTGTCTCCGACAACACCAGACTCAAGCTCCTATAATGTGCAGGACTTTTTCTGTTTTGAGGAGGCTGGTGATGATACCTTCAGCACAGTGGAAACTGAAGTAATTACCTACTTGAGAACAGCCGAAACAGGGATGGAGATTCTTAAACAATTTCCCACAATAAAGGAAATTTCTCTGAAGAAAAATGCAGCTACTCCATCCAGTGCTCCTGTAGAGAGACTTTTTAGCCTGGGAAGTCTGGTACTGTCTCCAAAGAGGAACAAGCTGTCTGACCAAAGGTTTGAGAGACTTCTTCTCATGCGGTACAACCACTGGTTTGAAGGGTAAAACTGAACTTAAATGTTCATTCAGGTCCTTGCTAGTAAGCACCTTTTGTTGTTTCAAATAAATAAGCACACATTTGTTATTAAAAAAAATATTTGTTTGTTTAAAATAATGGTTAGTTTAGTAGCCACAGTTACATTTCTGTTATATCTTAGTAGAACACTAATTTTATGCATTATAAAATGCATTACGTTGTATTAGGAAAATGCTGTTTGTTCGTTTTTAATGGACCTATACAACAGCAGATTTTGCACTTCGAATACACACAGCTTACTTTACATAAGTTGGTGACATGCAACTCTTAATTTGTGGTTGGGTTGGAAATTGCTCATTGATTTAATATTTAAACAGCATTTATATTTTTTATGTTTTTTTTAATGCATATCATTTATGTTTGTCAATAATAGCATTTTTTGGTGCTGAGTTTCTCGAAATTGATTCTGAATAATTCAGATTCCTTTCATTTATATATTTCAAAATGTTTTATGTTGTACATTGTTGATAGTTTTCATACTTAAGCTGTGAAACACAACAGCTTTTATGATGCAGCAGCAGAAGCCACTTTAGTTTTTGATTATTCAGCTCGTTTTGTTATTTATTTAAGAAATCCTTGTGATACATTCAGTTTGTGCTGGTCTGACTGAAATAAAACAGTGTTTAAAAATTACTTTCTGTTTAAGTCCGTTTTGTGTTTGTATAGACCATAATGCATAAAAGGGCATTAATGGGAACATTAATGAGCGTTCTTTAAAAAAGTAACTAAAAAGTTACTTTTAACAGTAATGCATTACTTTTTGGTGTAAGTAATCAAAAAGGTAATTGAGTTACTTTTTTAATGAAGTAACTAGTAACTGTAACTAGTTACTATTTCTTAGTAACTAGCACAACACTGTCTGCACCAGAACGAACAAAAGTCTCCGAAACAGTCTCCGAAACGGACTGAAGCGCGCACGTGAAGACTGTGCAGTGCGTGAGCCACGAGATACACTGTAACCGCGCCACAGATCGCAGGCGGCAATGAGCACTTTGATCACTTGATTTAAAAAACAACGTATTTCAGGGCTAGATCGCTTCTTTTATTTTACAAACGAACGAAATGACTGGTCTGCCAGTTGGAGATGTTTTATTTATTTCTACTGTTAGCTATCCGTGCCGCGAGAACTTTTAAAAAGTGGTGGGGACAATCGACCTTGGCAAAAAGTGGTGGGGACATGTCCCACCCGTCCCACCCGCAAATTACGCCCCTTGTACAATTTGCTGTTATGTGTGTGTGTGTGTGTGTGTGTGTGTGTGTTTGTGTGTTTCTGTGTGGCTCGCAGCGAACGCGCGTCACACAGAGAGTCGTGACGAGCTCCTTTAATACTGTCTATCGAGCTGGACGCGCTCTGAGAGAAGGCTGTTAAAATCGATTCTGATTCTCTATCTGTATGCATGAGACTTTCTGAAAACAGGTAGAATTCACATTTTTCATTATGCAGAAGTACAATTTGCTGTTATGTGTGTGTGTTGCTGTGTGACGCGTTCGCTGCGGGCGTGACGTGACGAGCTGGACGCGCTCTGAGAGAAGGCCGTTAAAATCGATTCCCTATTTTCGTTTTCCGATCGATTGTGCAATTGATTTTCGAACGTAAAGTGACAGCCCTACCACGAACAAGCAAATATGTTGTTAAATTACTTTAATTTTAACTTAAAATCTACTGCAATAATGGAATAAATGCATAAAGACACAACTGGTATCCCTTATATTAGAGTTCTGGCTGCACGTTTTTATCTTCTAACTAGACGAACACTGACACCCTGTGGTAAAATAATGGCGTATTAACAGCAGCTTTCTCGGATTGGCTTGTTTTGGATTTGAACTTCATGTTCCGATTAGTTTTGAAAATTCTGCACACGGTAAACATCAGAATATCCCTTCTTATGTCAATAAAAAATTCCAAAATATAAAATCTTATTATAGACACTCATTTTAGGTGGCGTTTGTTCAACTCATTGACTGCAGTAGTACATTGAAAGTAAACATAACCGAAAGTGATATGTGTTTCCACACGGAAGATCGTGAAGTTCAGTGCAAGCGGTCCATTATATTTTATATAGACCATTTCACAAGATGTAAACAACACTGGTCCAGAAGCACTTCCTGTTTCAGTTTGTAACTGTTTTCTTTATTTCACATGTAAAGAAAACATCAAGATGTTTGTTTAACTTTTTGATTCAGTTTTAAATGTTCTGTTGGTTGTATTTTATCCCAGCTTTTATGTCGTGTTAAAAAACTGAAACAGGAAGTGCTTCTGGACCAGTGTTGTTTACATCTTGTGAAATAAATTTTCCACTTTTCCTGATATGTCACCAAATTATCTTAACACATTTTGAATGGTTGTTCTCTCTTATTAATCCTGTCAAACCCTAAATTATTCTGACTTTAAATAAAAAACATTGAATAATACTAGAAATATTGCTTTTTTTATTATGAAGTGAAAGGACAAGATGAGATGTTTTATGTAGAAACATTAGAATAGAAAACAATATTTTCCCCGCTGTGAACAATGTAGGCAGCTTCAGTCTCACGCGCATTCGAAAATGACGTCATAAAAGAAGTTGAGCGTTGTCATGGCCAACGCAGTGTTGTGTTTGTGTTAGTTCAGCCGTGTGAAACAAACAAATAGCCTACAGTCAGTCTTCGTTGTTTGTTTTGCAGTTTATTTGATAAAGTTACCCAACTGGACAACTGTTATCATGGCACAGAACAAGAGAAAGCCCTTCGCTCAGTGTGACTCTCCATCAACATCCACAACCGACGCACCAAGAAATGAGAGAAGTGCTGATGGTAAGTTAAATTAAATGACCATTACAAATCCATCCACACGACCACGCATTATACCATAATTAAACTTAAGTTTTTTCTTTTAATTCCAAGACATGTCTTAAATATTAGGGGTGGGGGGAATCGATACAGTATCGCGATATTTTCTGAGGCAATACTGTAAAATTATCTGTTTTACTTTCCGATTTTCTTCATTGGTTTCTCTATTTTTCACTGCTTGAGAACATGGGTTGAATCCGAAATCGCCCCCTAAACAGTCATTCACTAAGTTAGGCTTAGCTATTCCCTAAATTAGTCTACTGTTCTGTTCGCTTGAAGGAGTGAATGAAAACGAGTGAGTGAATCCGGACAGCCGTTGAGCGTTGTGGGCTAGTTACACGTTAATACTGCAATGTAGGACAGAAACGCGATCTGACACGCGTCCCATTTTCTCACAAATGTCCATTTAAGACTTTATTTAAATCATTTTAGACAGCTCTTATGAGGACATTTGACAAAACGGACGTTTTGGCATAATTTGTGTGTAATGATGTGCTCAAGCCCGAACACCGGTAACACCGACTATCTAGCAATCCTGGAGCTCAACGTTCATGTGAGAGGTCTCCTATTCAGAGAATAATTACGTCCTGTCCTGTGTCCTGAATGTTCAAGAACAAGTTTTTGCACTTCAGTTAAAGATAATGTTTACAGAATTAAATGTGACATTTAATTGAAATGAGTTGAGCAGTCTTATTTTGCTCATTTTTTGTGATGTCTTTGAATAATGTGGGGAACATGAATCGCAATATATTGCTTGTATGACAATATATATTGAGAATCCCACCCCTATTAAATATCTAAACAAGTTTTGTAAAAAAAAAAAAAATATATATATATATATATATATATATCTCATATCTCAAATATTACTCTCCCTGCTGTCCATGCTTGACATTTCTTGTCAACTATAACCATTAATCTTTTAACAGGCGACATTCTGAGCCGGTTTAAAGTCGGCAGAATGCTTGGTGAGGGAGGATTCGGCAAGGTTTATGAAGGGAAGCGCTTGGAGGATGATCTTGAGGTATAGTCATTTCTTACATTTATCGATTTAGCAAATTCTTTTTCGTCTCACTATCCATTTCAAGTCCTTTTATTGTATGTTATGTTCACTAGGCTATGTGGTGCAATTTACATGTTTGTAAATGTAATTGTAATGGGCTAAATGTTTTGTTTTGTTGATCAGGTGGCAGTGAAATTTGTCAAAAAGTCAAAGAGCATGGAATACGTCAGAATTGTAAGTTTGATCATGAAAACAACATTTTTCCAAAACTGGACAAACATTTTTTATTCTAAAATCTTATAAAAATCCTACAACCAACAATGATCTTTCTTCCAGCCTGGTCATCCTACACCAGTCCCATTAGAGGTCGGCATGTTAAAATATGTTAATAGGGACCCCAAAGTTAAAGAGATCATTGAACTGCTGGACTGGCAGGACCATCCTGACGGATATATCATGGTCTTGGAGCGTCCCCCACACTGCGAAGATGTGTCTCATTTTTGGGATAATCGCAAACGCAAACTCTGTGAGGAAACGGCACGGACTATCATGGCGCAGGCAACAACGGCTGCTCAGACGTGCTGTGACCGAAGAGTTTTCCACAGCGACATCAAGTTACAAAACCTGCTGATCAACAAAAAAACACTTGAGGTCAAACTGATTGACTTCGGGTGCGGGAGATTCCTGGAAGAGTCCGCCTATTACGACTTCTGTGGTATGTATTATGAATCAAGGTTTAAAAAGAGTTTTTATTTTTTAAATTTAGATGAATATGTTCTCACTAAATATGTCGCCTCACGCCTGGTTTGGCCATGGATTGATCTCACTTTTAAAACTCCAGAATTGTGAATAAAAACAACTAAATTATTAATTTACTCTAATGGATACAGAAGGTGTTGATACATGGGGCAACTTTTTTGAGCAATGTTGCAGAGCGATGTTGCTTGGGCGCTTTCTCATTGAGAATGGGCAACAAATTTCTGTCTGGGTACTTTAGATCGGTCATGGGCCCTGTATCTCACCTGGTTTCCTGTTAACGCCAACATTGCTCAATAAGTTGCCCTGTATATCATCACCTGGAGAAAACATGCTATGGGATTTCAAGCTTAACCATCAGACAAATCTCTTTCTAGGCACAAGAATGTACTGTCCTCCTGAGTTCCACACAAGGGGCAAGTATCACGCTAAACCAGCTACTGTGTGGTCTCTGGGAGTGCTCTTATTCGTAATGTTGGTTGGACGCTATCCAGAACCCGAAGACCATCTGAGGATTAAGGATAACACCTGGTCTATGTTTCACTTGTCAAAAGGTAAAATTGCATTCATTATAAAAAAGATGATCAATTATAATTTCAAATCACCAAAATAGAACAAATGAAACGAAGAAGTAACAGTAACACCAAAACCAGAAAGCTTTATAAAATATGGCTGTTACCAGTTCCAGTTGTTTTTTTTAACCATACAGTATAGCGTAGTCTAATCTCACATCTTAATAGAAAGACAGCAGGTGTAAAGTTTAAGGTCTCTTCACAGATTGCCGCGACCTGATTCGACGCCTCCTGCAGGAAAACCCAAGTGAGCGGATTGGTTTGGAGGAAATCATTTCCCATAAATGGTTTAAGGTAATGACCCTAATAAGCTAGAAATGAATTTGGATTTACAGGTGAAGCTCGAAAAATTAGAATATCATGCAAAAGTTAATTTATTTCAGTAATTCAACTTAAAAGGTCAAACTAATATATGATAGAGAGACTCATAACATGCAGAGTGTGATATTTCAAGCCTTTATTTGTTATAATTGTGATGATTATGGCGTACAGCTATGAAAACCTTTTCACAATATTCTAACTGAATTTGGGGTTTCATCCATAATCATCACAATTATAACAAATAAAGGCTTGAAATGTCTCACTTTGCGTGTTATGAGTCTCTATGGCCTCGTTTACACTGCATGGTTCAAGTGACCCAAATCCGATTTTTTCCTCTCATGTGGCACAGATCGGATATGACCTGTGAACGTGTAAGCAGGAAAAAACGCATGGATTCCGATTTTCTCAGATCAGATTCAGGCCTCACTCATATGTGGTAATAAATCGGATATGAATCGGATACGTGCATTTACGTGTGCCATGTAAGCAGACAAATCGGATATTCCCCAGTAAATGCGAGACGTACGTCATTAAAAAGTGAGCGATTATAGGCGCGATGGAAGAAAGGATACACACAGTGGAGCAATGCGGAGGTTTCATGTCGTTTGAGTGTTTTGGGCGATGAGTGCAGGCAAAAATGCAGGGTTGTTACAGAAATAAATCTGTATTTGAAGACATTTCACAAGATAAATGAGGCATCGTTTTAAGTGCTCGCTACAGTGCCTCTCCTCTTATTCTCCGGCGTACGAGACCAATGTTTTGATGACTTTTCAAAATATTGGGGAAAGAAAAACACTGGATAATTTTATTCGCATCTGCATCCATTGAAGTTTGTGCTGTTTTGCTTAATTTCCCGGGTCAGAACGTCTGCATTTGGTAGTTTCAGCAGTGTATAGTGTAAATGCAAAAATCGGATATGGGTCACTTTTAAAAGATGATGTAAGCGGGTTGTCAATAAAATCAGATATAGTCAGAAAATCGGATTTGGGCATCAAGACCTGCAGTGTAAATGCAGCCTATAACAAATTATTTTTACCCTCGCTCAGGTGTGCGACTCCCCCTCAACATCCAGAACCAACGCGGCTACTGCACCGAGAAATGAGAAAAGTGCTGAAGGTAAATCAAATGACCATTACAAATCCATCCACACCACCACACATTATACCATAATTAAACTGAAGTTGTTTCTTTTAATTCCAAGACATGTCTTAAATATCTAAACAAGTTTTGTTAAAAAAGAAACTACAATTGTACAATACAATTGGTTTTACTGCCATATCTCAAATATTACTCTCCCTGCTGTCCGTGCTTGACATTTCTTGTCAACTGTAACCATTAATCTTTTAACAGACGACATTCTGAGCCGGTTTAAAATCGGCGAAATGCTTCGTTTTGGAGAATTTGGCAAGGTTTATGAAGGGAAGCGCTTGGAGGATGATCTTGAGGTATAGTCATCTTACATTTATCAATTTAGCAAATTCTTTTTCGTCTCACTATCCATTTCAAGTTCTTTTAGTGTATGTTATGTTCACTAGGCTATGTGGTGCAATTTACATGTTTGTAAATGTAATTGTAATGGGCTAAATGTTTTGTTTTGTTGATCAGGTGGCAGTTGAAAATTGTCAAAAAGTTAAAGAAACATGGAATACATCAAAATTGTAAGTTGATCATGAAAACAACATTTTTCCAAAACTGGAACAAACATTTTTTTATTCTAAAATCTTATAAAAATCCTCTAATCAACAATGATCTTTCTTCCAGCCTGGTCATCCTACACCCGTCCCATTAGAGGTCGGCCTGTTAAAACATGTTAATAGGGACCCCAAAGTTAAAGAGATCATTGAACTGCTGGACTGGCAGGACCAGCCTGACCAATATATCATGGTCTTGGAGCGTCCCCCACACTGCGAAGATGTGTTTGTTTTTTGGGATAATCGCAAACGCATTCTCTGTGAGGAAACGGCACGGACTATCATGGCGCAGGCAACAACGGCTGCTCAGACGTGCTGTGACCGAGGAGTTTTCCACGGGCAACATCAGTTACAAAACCTGCTGATCAACAAAAAAACACGTGAGGTCAAACTGATTGACTTCAGGTGCGGGAGATTCCTGAAAGAGTCCGCCTATGACGACTTCCGTGGTATGTATCGGCATGTTGTTAATGTTGTTATGTTGTTGTTAACGGCAAACATTGCTCAAAAAGTTGCCCCGTGTATCATCACCTAGAGAAAACATGCTATGGGATTTCAAGCTTAACCAACAGACAAAATCTCTTTTCTAGCACAAGAAGAGTTACTGTCCACCTGAGTTCGACAGATTGCAAAGGTACCACGGTAAACCAGCTACTGTGTGCGTCTCTGGGAATGCTCTTATTCCAGATGGTGTGTGGACGCTTACCAGAACCCAAAGACCATCTGAGGATTAAGAATAACACCTGGTCTATGATTTACTTGTCCAGCGGTAAAATTCCATTCATTATAAAAAAGATGATCAATTATAATTTCAAATCACCAAAATAGAACAAATGAAACAAAGAAGTAACAGTAACACCAAAACCAGAAAGCTTCATAAAATATGGCTGTTACCAATTCCAGTTTTTTTTTAACCGTACAGTATAGCGTAGTCTAATCTCACAGCTTAATAGAAAGACAGCAGGTGTTAAAGTTTAAGGTCTCTTCACAGATTGCCGCGACCTGATTCGACGCCTCCTGCAGGAAAACC